TCAGATCCCGGAAGGCATGGGCCATGGGGCAGGTGGGGATGGGGCTCCGCAGCCCAGGGAGCTGCCGGTGGCCTGAGCCTTGCCCACGGGGAGGAGACGTGGGGACAGAGGAGCAGAGGCAGTGCCAAGCATGCCCGGTGCCCCCCCCCCCCCTTATGCCCGGGCCCACGTCCGCAGGAAGGCCCGGGAGTTTCCCAGCAGCGGCTGACTCACTGCAGCCTGGCCTGCCTCCCGGCCTTGGCAGCAGCAGTGCTGATGATGGAGCAGACGGGCGGTGGCAGTGTGGGAAGACAGGGTTTGAGTCCCTGGCATGGCTGAGCCCCCTCAAACAGCGACAGCGAAGAGGGCAGCGCTCTGGCGCTGTTTGAGGGGGGCTCAGCCATGCCAGGGACTCCAAGGCACAGCAAGGGGTCCCGGGACAGCTGTGGTGCCATGCACGCAGAGGGGCCCGGAGGAGGGCGGGATGGTTGGGTAAAGGGAAACTGGAGATGGGCACAGGCAACCGCAGAGGTCTTCCTGGAAGAGGTGAGGCTTTTCAGGCCATAATGAGAGCGAATACCTCCGTTTGGAAGGTCCTGTGCCGAGACAGAGAAGGGGGATGTTTGGGGGTTTGGGGGATTTGCAGGGCGGGGGGTGCTGGTAAGTTTCCCACTGTTATGATGAAAATATCCCAGAGTGAAGTTGGAGTAGGGAGAAGGGGTGGGGAAGGGAGGAGAGAACACATGGAGGTCCCGGAGGGTCCAGTTGGCAGGTTAAACCCCAATAAAATGACCTATGGGTCTATTGTGGGATCTTGAATGGAAAGAAATGTGTAGAGGAAGCTTTTGACGTATTTGCCTGCCCACTTGCTCTGGACCCAGGAGCAAGGGGATTGGAGTGGGGGGTGCTGCACAACAGGGTGGGGACAGCCTGGTTTCTTTCCTGTGAAATAATCCGTGTGATGTTACTTCGGCACCACACAAATGGCCATACCTGAGTCATCATCGGTCACTTTAAAAGTGATACTTTCACCGGGGCAGCACGACGCTAGGATTCCAAGTCCTGGCACATGACTGGCTGGTATTCTATAAAATACAGCTTTTCCCTCGTCAATAAACTATTGGTTGTCAGGAAATACAGTATCTACTGCGAGCATGTCAAACTCGCGGGCCGCATGCCTCGTTTATTTGGCCCGTGTTAGCCTTTGCGTTTGACATGCTTGGTCTACTGGACAGAAACTTGACTCTTTTCCTTTAGTTACAAATTTTCCAAGTAAGAAGGTCTTGAACAGTTGCCTTGCATGTGGACTCGTGCATATTCATAGATTCAGCTTATTCCGATCCGCTTCAATCTTTATTCATTGCAGTGCTCAGCCATGTCACCATGTGGGTGACTAGGGGCCTCTTCAAGCTGGTTCCCCTGCCCCAACCACAAGACTCCCCCGATACCCCACAAGCCAGTGTGCTGTCCCAGGGGTGCCATGCCCCAAATGCGTCCTTCTCTGTCCTTCCCTCGAGGTTCAGCAACATGGCCGGGATGCCTGAGGTCCAGGAGCTGAAGAGGGCCGCGGAGCTGAGGTCTCAGCTGCGGACTGTGAGTGAGGCGGGGCCGGGCGCGTCAGGAGCAGAGCAGGGGGCAGAGGTCGGGCCAGGCTCCCCGCGGAGCCCTGAGCTGAGGCCTCTTTGCCTTCAGTTGGCCGAGGTCCTCTCCTTATTCTCCCACAACGTCACGGAGAAGCAGACGATCCTGAGCAGCCTGAGCTCGGAGCTGGCGAAGAGCCGGGATCAGGTACATGAGGACAGAAGGTCTGTGGGATTTCCCTTCTTGGGGGGGCGGGGGCGGGGGCGGGGCGCGCAGCTCCGGTAGCCGGTTCGGCGTCAGCCTGCTTTCTCCCTCGCCTTGGCAATGAGGCCCGGCATGGGATCATGGTGGGGATCTGGGGATAAGCAAGACCCTGCCCTGGGACTAGCCAGAGGGAGAAAAGGATCTGGGGGTTTAGAGAGAGAATTCAAAATCGTAGCAGGGGCAACAGTTCTAAGTAAGAGACGAATTTGGTTCCCTCCCCGTTCTGAGCCCTTGCTTTGCATCCGCCCCCTGGACAGGCCCTCCTACTCATCTCGTTTCACCCTCAAGGCAGCGGCACTGCCATTATGCCCTCAGGGGGGCTACTGTGCCCTGAGTTCCTGCCAGTAAGTGACAAGTGACCACCTAGGGCATCGGGCCGGGGTCACCCACCTCCAAGGCCTCGTTCCTGGGGTTCACCGGGGAGTTACAGCTTTTACAGCCTCAGTCCCCCTTGTAACAGACGCAAGGTGCCCACTCACTGTGGCCTGGCAGTGTCCCGCCCTGACCAGGGCGTCCTCCGGCCCCTGCCCGGACCTTAGCCCCACGTCCTTAATTCTGGATGTAAAACGCGCTGGGACCCGCAGGGCCCGTTGTTAGGTGTCTGGGCTGCGGGACTGACCGAAGCCGACACGAGGCTCTCTGCTCGTTTGTCCCACACGGAGCGGACGGTCCCGGGTCCTCTGGAGGGGACTGTGTCCCGTGCAGTGTGCGCGTGGGGGTCGCCTTTCTAAGATCAGAGGGCACATCCGGCCCAGCCTTTGGGAGGAAGACCGAGCTGAGGTCTTGTCCACCCCCTGTCCTTGGGAGGGCAGGCGCCGGGGACCCGGAAAGCCCTGGGGACAAGCTTGGTGCCGCCCGGATCCAGCTCCAGAAATAGCTGGGCCGGGGTCACGAGAGGAGCTGCGGGGAGGAAGTGGGGCTACACAGGCCTGAGGGTGAGGAAGACCCCCCCCAACACACACCCCCAACATCTCAAACAGAGTGTTTGTCCAGCCCGGAAAGGGGAGGGGGAGCTCATAATGACCTTGAACTGCAGGCCCAGGAAGTCACCTCCCTCGTTCCCTGGCCTCCGGGCAGGACCGAGAACATGGGGTCATGACTGTGTGAAAGGAGGGTTGTTGGCTGTGGCACTAGTTCCCTCCGTGTGCCAGGAGGCACCCCCTCTGCCCTTCCCAGGCCACCAGAGGTGTCTGCTCCGCTCCCACCGCTGCCACTCCGGACTCTCCGCTTCAGGGTCCAGGACCCTTTCCCGTCTCCTCTCAGACCTTCCCATGTAGCCAACGCCACTCGCCCGTCTGTCCTCTTGGCTGTTTCTCGCTCTCATCTTATTCAACACCGTGTGTGTGTGTGTGTGTGTGTGTGTGTGTGTGTAAGAGAGAGAGAGAGGGACAGAGAGAAGGAGAGAGAGAATAAACACGAGAACGACAGCTGGCTGGTTGGCCTCAAGGTGCCTCAGAAAGCTTAGAGACCAGAGAGTCACCCCCACTCACGGATCGCCCCCCAAAACCATGACATGAAGGCTCCTCTGCAGGCAGACAGCTCCCGCCTCGTCCCCCCACCATCGCAGCCCCTCCCTCCCCCGGTGCTCTGTGCTGTTTGATTCTTCCATCACCTGGTCCCTGTCTCTTGCCCACAGCATCCAGCAGATTCAGTGTTGCCTGGACAAGATGTACCTCATCTACAAGCAGTTCAGGAAGACCAGGATGAGGCCAGGTGAGCCGAGGGGAGAGCCACACACTCCTCTTGCGCGTACTCATGCTCTTCCTCCCTCTCCCTCCTTCCCGCCAGGTACCCAGCCCTTGTTTGATTCCTCCCGGGGTTGCTGCTGGGGGCTCACTGGCCATGCAGAGCCCGGGTGCGGCCGGTCCAAGGCTGGGCCCCTGGGTCCCTGGCCTCCAGCTGCCTGCAGACCAGCAAGAGGCAGGAAGCCTTTACACCTGAGCCTGTTGCCAGGTGGGGTCGGAGGCTTGGGTGACACGAAAGGGCTTCTCAGTGGCTGGCATCTGGCTGCCATCAAAGAGGTGGCCCTTGAAAGAGAACCCGCACCTTTGCCGGGCACCTTAGAGTTCAAGGCGTGTTTCCCTATCTGCTGTGTCTGTGGTTCACTAATAGTCGGGCTTTCCAGAAGCGGGCAGACCCAGAGAAATGCCACTCAGAGCCACTGGGCCAGGCGCTCTGCCTGCATCTCTAAGAAGCCTTCCGAAGACCCTCGGGCAGGGTAGCTCACTGAGGCTCAGTGGTCAGGCTGTTTGCCCCAGGGGACGCCATCTTGGGGCAGGGGAGGGTCCAACCCAGGGACAGTGGGGCAGGGACTGGAGGGAGCAGGGGAGGCCACGGTTGACTCTCGAGGCTGAGGAGCTGACCCCCTGGACTTGACCCTTCTCCCCCGCATGGCCAGGCTTTTCCCACAGGGCGGCTCGCAGGTCTCGGGCTTCGCTGCCAAGTCCTCGCCCTCCTGATAGTATCTCAGAGCAGGTCCCACGGGCACGGCCTGCAGGCACGTAAGGAGCCTAGAGTTCCCTAGTAGCCAACATTGAAAAGTAGAAGTAAAAGGGTGAGATTAATTTTAATAATATATCCTATCCAACCCAATATATCCAAATTGTCACTTCAGCAAGTAACCAACAAGCAACATAAACATAATTCTATCTGTTCCCAGAAGTGGGATCACTGGGTCAAATGGCAGTTCCGTATTTAATGTTTTGAGGAATCCCCATACCATTCTCCACAGTGGCTGCACCAGTCTGCATTCCCACCAGCAGTGCACGAGGGCTCCCTTTTCTCCACATCCTCACCAGCACTTGTTTGTTGATGTATTGATGGTAGCCATTCTGACAGGCAGGAGGTGATATCTCATTGTGTTTTAACTAGAAGCCCGATGCACGAAATTTGGGCAAGAGTAGGCCTTCCTTCCCCCGGCTGCCGGCACTGGCTTCCCTCTGGCACCCGGGACCCGGGCTTCCCTTTGACACCTGGGACCCGGGCTTCCCTCGCAGCCTGGCTTCGTCCAGAAGGACATCCAGAAGGACGTAGTGTAGATTTGCATCTCTCTGATGATTAGTGACGGTGAGATTTCCCACATGTCTATGGTCATCTGCGTGTCCTGTTTGGAGAAGCGTCTCTTCAGGCTCTGCTCATTTTTCAATTGGATTGTTGGGTGTGTGTGTGTGTTTCGTATTGAGTAGCATGAATTCTTTCTAAATTTTGGGCCTTAACCCCTTATTGGATTTATCACTGGCGAATTGTTCTCCCATTCACTAGGTTGTCTTTTCATTTCATTGATGGTTTCCTTTGCTGTGCAAAACCTTTTAGTTGGATGTAGTCCCACTTGTTTATTTTTTGTTGTTGTTTTTCTTGCCTGAGTAGATAGATCAGAAAAAAATATTGCTAAGAGAGATGTCAAAGGTTCTGTTTTCTTTTAGTTTTACGGCTTTGCATCTTACATCTACATCTTTAATCCATTTTGAGTTTAGTCTTGTATATGGTGTAAAAAGGTGCTCTAGTTGCATTTTTTTATACGTATCTGTCCAATTTCCCCCGCACTATTTCTTCAATAGACTATCTTTTACCCCCATTGTCTGTTCCTGCCTCCTTTGTCATATATCAATTGACCCTATAGGCTTGGTTTTCCTTCTGGGCTCTCTACTCTGTTCCACCGATCCGTCTCCCTGTTCCTATGCCAGCACCACAAGGTCCAGCTGCTTTTAATCACCTTACTTTGCAGCCTCAACAAGAGTTTCATTTCTATGGTCTTCAAGAGCCCTTTATTCAAATTGGAAAAGAAGCAGGAAAAATGCCTCTTGGGGTGTTGGAAGAGGCCATTCTGACAAATGCTCAGGAGTGAACACTAGGGCACTCTCACTGCCCTCACACCCATGCCGTGTGTCCCGTGTGGCAGACGCGGAAACGGACTGGGTGAGGTGCAATCACTTGCTTACAGCGCCCTGCCGATAGGAGGCAGGCCTGGGACGTGTGGCTTGGACTTCACAGGGGCCCAGCTGGCTGTGAGCAGTGCCCGGATGAAGAGCCCAGGAAGGGGATTCTCTACTAGGGGTGTGGAGGGGGGGTCAGCAAGGTAACCTCTGCTTCGTTTCCTCTCCAAGACGCTAATGACCCGAGGCCCATTCCCTCGAAGCCCAGGAGGGGGCAGCATCTCCCCAGTGAGAGAGCATCAGGAGGTGCCCAGGAAGTGAAAACTTCATCAGCCCTTCTGGCAAAGTGTCTGGGCAAGGAAGTGGGGTACAGGGCGGGAGGGGGGGCTGGCTTATCCAGCTCCGCTGCAGAGCCCAGCTGGCTCTCCTGCAGCTTGAATATTCGGGGATGAGGCTAACAGCCTGTAGGCATCCATCACCCTGGGTTGGGTGTTGGCCGCGGGGCCGGGGCTGACCACAAGGCCTATTCCATCCACCACTTCCCACCTGAAGTGTTCGCCTGCCCCAGGTACGCCCCTTCTTTGTCGTGGTGCAATGTCCTGGGTGCTCGGTTCACTCCTGTCCTTCCTGGCTCAGTGGGCTGGGAGCCCCAGGGAGCAGGGTTCAAGCCAAGCCGACTGCATCTTTGTGGGTGTCCCCCCCCCCAACCCTGGGGCATTCCATGTTGCTGACATAACAGGTGGCATCATTTCTGCTGTTTCCTGCAGGGCTTGGCTACAACGAGGAGCAGATCCACAAGCTGGACAAGTGAGTGGCCGGTCCCTTGGCAGGAGGGGGCGCAGGAGGGTGGGTGTCACCCGGGCGGAGCGAGTCTCTGTGCCTGACGAGAAGTGGTGAGGGGCCCGGTCACAGGCCGAGGCCTAGCAGGAGGGGGGCGGTGTGATGGTGTCTGGGGGGGTTGTCTGGAGCCAGGGCAGGGGACGGTGGCTGAGCTGGAGGGAGGCTCCTCAGAGGCGGCCGCAGGAAGCTGGACTTACTTCTGAAGACGGCTCGGCTCCTAGGGTTTCTTTCCCTGTCCCCCCGCTGGTTTTCCCCCTGCCGCTCTGGCCTCTGCCTGAGCTTCCCTTTGGGTGTCCCTCTGCCCTTCCATTTCCTGGGCCCTCTCATGCCCCAGGGGGCCCCTGATTTAATGCTTATTTGGCGACTCGCTCCCCCAGTTCTCTACCCACCCTGACCCCCGACACCGGCACACACACTTTCCACAGTCATCTCGCCTTCCCTCTGGGGACGAGCTGAGAGTCTGTGTCCCTCTGTTGTCCTGTGCTGGGTGCCAGCCCCTCTGGTCACCACGACCCCCCCCCCCCGTATCATCTCCTCCATCCTGGAGAGCCAGCCCTGCTGTGGCCGGGGGGCTGGGCGCTTAGGAGGTGGAGACCCAGGCACGCTAGGCTTGTGCTCAGGCGGCTCTGACTGCTTAGCTCGGTGCCTCGGTTTCCCTATTCTTTCCAGGGTGAATTTTAGCCATTTAGCCAAGCGGCTCCTGCAGGTGTTCCAGGAGGAGTGTGTGCAGAAGTACCGGGCGTCGCTGGTCACGCACGGCGAGCGCATGAGGTAACCATCTGGCCTCCTGAGCGCACAGACCCCAGGCCCTTCCAGGCTCGGAAGTCCTGGGCTCGGCCGACCCTGGCTGAGAAGGGGGTGGGAGTAAAGGGACAAAGGCAAAGAGATGGGTAGTTTTGTGGTCCTGGGTGGCTAGGCAGTCGCTGGGCGATTTCTACGCATCAGCTTATTAACCCCTCAGTATCTTCCCTATACAGCAGTGGTTCTCAACCTTGGCTGCACATTAGAATCACCTGGGAATCTTTTTAAAATCCCGATTTCTGGGCCGCATCTTCCGGAAATTCTGTTTCTTTGTTATGGGGTGGGGCCACAACATTAGTAACAAAGAAACAGAATTTCCGGAGGATGCGGCCCAGAAATCAGGATTTTAAAAAGATTCCCAGGTCATTCTAATGTGCAGCCAAGGTTGAGAACCACTGCTATACAGTAAGTACTATCAGGCTCAGAGAACAGTCTCTTCCTCAAATCCACACAGCTAGCAGGTAGCAGGCCCGGGACAGTACAGGGGTGTGACTGCCCCTAAAACCTGGGTTCTTCCCACGGTCCCAGGTGGTCATGTGGGAAGCCTTCCCTCTCCGGGGAGAGCACAGGTCCCCTGGGATGGGACCAGTGGCCGGGAAGCAGGGGCAGGCAGAGGCCCTTACATAGAACCCCTCTCACAGGTGCTCCCTCTCAGACCGCCCCTCCCTCCTCCCCCACCTGCACCAACGCTGGCTCCTCCGGAGAAGGGCAGGTTCCCAGGTGCGTCGGTTTGAGATCCACGGGACCTGTGGGCTGAGACGCAGGCGCCCACCCACTCTCACATTAGAATGCCAATGCCCAGCTCCCCGCCCCCGACTCTGGTTTCATTGGCCTGAAGTTGGCTTGGATAGCGGCAGCTTAAAAGCTCCTCGGGCGATTCTCATGTGTAGCCAGGACTGAGCGTCAGTCAACCACTGCTTTAACCCCTCTGCACGTGATTTCCTTTTGGGGCAACGGACAAAATGTCCTTGCTCACTCCCTGCACTTAGAGAAGCCACAGAAGAGCCTTGACCTTGAATTTCTCTGGAATGGGAGCCTCAGGAATTCCCATATGAAGCGTGGGCTGTCCTGAGCCACTCTGGCCGGGCGCTCCTCCTGCCCGGCCTGGGTGACCCTGCCCAGCGCACGGTGTTTGCAGCTCCCAGCTGGTTGCGACGGGACCCTCACCAGCCTGTCAGAGCATCAGCACTTACAGGGGGACAGGGGGACAGGGGCCAGTTGAGGGTGCACCCAGACGGGCAGAGGCAGTGGGGGAGGCACTGCCTGGACCCATGGACTCCTGCCTGCTGTCTGGAAGCCTACCCTCCGTGGCTGTGCAGTGGCCCAAACAACAGCTGGGTGTGGCCCATCAGAGCCGGCAAGCCTGGCTCTGATTTTCAATCTGCTCTCTCCAGGGTGGTGCACGAGGCCAGGAACCACCTGCGCCTGGTCGCCTGCTCCGTGGCTGCCTACAGCACCGAAGCCCAGAAGGTGCAGGAGGGCCTCAGCAAGGTGCGGGAGCTTCAGGGCGGTGGGGGGGGAGGGGGGCTGCCCAGCCAACCTGGTGCTCTGGGGGCATTCAGGCCATTCCCCTGCCTCTGGGTGAAGCTGCCCTGGACCAAGCCCAAGCATGTTGGGATGGGTGGGAGGTCTGACCCCAAAGGCGCCCTGAGGTGGGGATGGAGAAAGTGGAAGGCACTTCCTAGGATCCAGACTGAAGGTCACGGCAAGGGCAGAGCCTCCAGAACGCTGGGACATCTTCTTCCCCCTCCTCCTGCCTGGGAGGCTGCGGGCCACTCCTGAGAGGGGCCGTGTGACCGCTCCTTGACCTTCTGATCTGCGCTCTGCGAAGAGCCCAGCGCAGGCAGCTGGAGAAGCCGCCTGTTTTGCCAAAAGGAACAGAGAGGGCGGCTTCTTCTGGGAAAGGCAGCGTGGCCCCTCCCCTCCCCGCAAGGGGCTGCCTCCTCCCCCTCTCTGCAGCTCCTGGTGCAGGTGTCACTAGGGCAGTGGTTCTCAACCTTCTGGCCCTTTAAATACAGTTCCTCATGTTGTGACCCAACCATAAAATTATTTTCGTGGCTACTTCATCACTGTAATGTTGCTACTGTTATGAATCGTAATGTAAATATCTGATATGCAGGATGGTCTTAGGCGACCCCTGTGAAAGGGTCATTCGACCGCCAAAGGGGTCGCGACCCACAGGTTGAGAACCGCTGCACTAGGGGTTAGTTAGACACAGGGAGAACCTGGCCGTCAGGATCATGACATCCACGCGGACAGTGAGGGTGGCCGCGCTCCCAGGATGGGAAGGAGGGCTCGCCGGAAGGGCTCAGCTTTTGGTTGCTCTGGGGATGTGGGCTGGGGCCGATTTGTTACCCTTTTCTGGCCTTTCCCCAGCACTGCCCTCCCCACAGGTGAGCTGGCTCTTCCCTTCTGACTAGAGTGTGGTTCCCCTCAGATCCTCGACTGGCTGTCTCTCCAGCTCCTGCAGGACAGAGCAAAGGGGGCCCAGGTCCCCCCAACCCCCACGGCTCCTTATTCCAGTCCTGCACCCAAGGACCTGGGTCTCCAGCTAAAGGACCTGGGTCTCCAGTGAGTATCGAGGGATGTCCGTGTGTGTGTGTGGGGGGGGGGGGGTGAAAACTAGGGCCCGAGGGGTGTGCCGCACACCAGGCCTGGAAGGCAGGCTTTGTAAAGAGAGGCTTGGTGGCCGGCCTTCCAGGGAAGGGGTCGGTCAGGGCAACTTCGGCCTCAGGCACAGTGGCCGCTCTTGCCTCTGCCCTGGACAGCATGGAGGAGCTCTGTAAGGAGATGAAGCTGCTGGCCTCCGACCTCCAGGACAACAACTGCATCATCGAAAGGTAAGGAGTCCCACTGTGCTCGGGGAGGGCTGGGTCCTCCAGCGCCTGCACCTGCCCAGGCAGGTTTGGTGGCAGGTGGCCGGAGCTCCGGCCTGTCCACAGGTGAGTCACCATCCTCACCAGGTGGAGGCTTCCAGGCTCCACGAGAGCCTCTAGAATACAGCCCATCAGAGAGAAACATTTCATCTAATTTTAAGCAATTGCGGGATGTGCAAGGGAAGGCATTTGACCTGGAGGCTAAGACCATTCTCGGTGCAGTCAGAGACGGGCCTGGGGCATGCGGATCCGTGGCTGTGAACGTGGGCTGTGCCTGTACTTCCCCCAGCCTCGGAGTGGCGCTGCCTCATCTCCGTGTCATGCACCAGGAAACTGAGGCACGGAGCCTGGAGTCATGGCCCTGGGGGCAGGTGCTCACAGGCCGCCCAGGCTGCAGGCCCAGTGCTAGGCACTCTGCTTCGTCCCCTGAGCAGACCCCCCTCTTTGGGGACAGGGGTGCCGTAGAGGCTGCTGGGGGTGCAGCAGGCTCAGATGTTTGGATTCTGTGCACCAGTAAAATCCACACACACAAAAACTGGAGGGACCAACTTCTCATACAATAAAATCAATACATTTGAAGGGAAAACACTTCCCCATCGAGCAGCCCCGCTCCGTAAAGCACATTTTAGCACCAGAGCGGAGGCAGGACATCGCCTCAGAAACGAGGATGGCCTTGCCCTGGAGGTCAGGGGGCTGACATACATATACACACACGCAGGGAAGGCGAGGACCCCGTCATCCTGCGTATGCCTGTCACCCCCCCATCCTCCATCTGGGAGCCGGTGGCCTGGTGGGAAGACTCTGCAGAGATTCCAACAGCATTTGACTCCTGACTCTGCTCCTTCCCAACTGCGTGGATGTGACCCTGGGAGGTCCGCTCAGCTCTGAGCTTCAGTTCCTGCCTCTGTAACATAGGAATAATGAGGCCCACCTCGTGGTGTGGCCGTGGGGATTAAATAGGTGTGATCTGAAATGTGCTTGGGAGGGGGGATAGGGCATGCAGAGGGAAGGCCTCACTAAATGGTAGGTGTTCCCCCCAGACCACGCCAGTGTGGGGCGCTAGAGTTGGGCCAGGAGGCAGGGAGGCAGGGAGGCCAGGAGGCAGGGAGGCAGGGAGACCAGGAGGCAGGGAGGCAGGGAGGCAGGGAGACCAGGAGGCAGGGAGGCAGGGAGACCAGGAGGCAGGGAGGCAGGGAGGCTGGGAGGCCCAGAGGAGCTGGTGGTCGTCTCCAGAGTCTCCGAGGCCCCTTGGGTTGAGGAGGCGTCTCCCATGTCCCGTTCCAGCAAGGGGAGGATCCATCCTCTTAAATGCCCGCCAAGGGGAGAGCCGACAGCTCCTTGGAAAGCCTTTCCAACGCAGCCCGATGGGCAGGAAGTTCTAATTTTAGGGCTGACATAAATTATTCTTGCTGTGATATGCAGTCTATTTACAGATAAAATACTTTATCTTCGTGAACTTTCACTTCCTTATTCAGAGCTGTAGCCAGGAAGCCTAAAGAAGTCCTTTGAGTTCCTCTCCCTCCTAACCCCGGCTGCACTGGGTTTACCAGGAGAGCTTCGAACAATCCAGAGGCCTGGGTCTTGCCCCAGAAGCTCTGGGTGCGGCCCCGGGTGGGGATTTTATAAGCTTCCCACGGACTCTCGTGTAGTCAGGGCTGAGAACCTCAGAGTTCTCGGGGGGCAGGAGAGCTGAGCCCGGAACGCTTGGAGCTGCTGAACGCTGTTTGGCCTGGGGAGGGGTTCCCAGGCTCCTGCACTTGGTGGGAGAAGCTAATCTGCGCCTTTCATTGCAGGTTAAGTCGGGTCCAATCGGCCGCTGATGTCTGAGCTCTGTGGGTGCACAGGGCAGCCGGAAGCATTAGAATCATGGGACCCAACGCAGGACTGTCCCTGTCCCATCATCAGCCTACCTCCCTCCTGGCCGACCGCTGGGAGATGCCACAGCATTACCTTCACTGCCTGTCTGCGGGCAGCACGCAGGCCCCGGGCACCACACCGCTGTCAGGACCCACCTGACATCCTACGCGGGCTCAGGCACAGCTCCTCCGTGGCCAGGCGCGCGGGCCCCTGGCACCCACGGCTGAACATTGCGGGGTCCCCGGGAGAGAAGCTCTGACAACCTCTCTCCCCGGTTTACAGGGCGCCGCTCCTCAGGGATCAGAAGAGGAGGCCCCACGGGGGTTCCCCAGGGTGCTGGGCCACACGGCCTAATCTCAGTCTTCCTTCCTCTTGTGGTGTTTCTTGTTTCTTGTTGAACATGTAGCCCTCTCCCCTCTCCTCTGATTCCTGAGGGTCACACACTCGGCCGCAGGCAACGCAGAGTCTGATTTGCCTTCTGCTCTGGGTCTGGCTGAGCCTTAGGGTGAGAGAGTGGGTGGTGGGGGCACCACCTCCAGGGACCTTCCCCTTCTCTCTCCCTCGGAGGCACCACCAGTTCTGGGATGTCAGCCAGCTGGTCAGGAATAGCCATGCAATTAGCACAGGCCTGTAAGCCCACAGCCCCGAGGGGAGACAGGCCTGCGCCTTTAAGAAGTGCAATAAACGTGCCTTCCTTTCTGTTTCTGGGTGTCTCTCCCTGGCGGTGGGTGAGGCAGGGGGAGGCCGCAGGTGCACGGGGCATTCCAGCAGGCACGTGGGGATCCGTGAGGAGAAGGACTGGGAAATGGAGGCAGGCCTGGTCACTTCCCGATTCCTGCCTTTCCCCTAAACGGGCCCTAATTTTAGGGAAAAGCCCAAGGAAGGTGGCCTCCCATTCCTCTCTTCGCCCTCCCCCTGTCCGCTGGGAAGCTGTGTAAGGGGCCTGGAACTTGGGGAGGAAAAAAGGCCTTTTTTTAAACCTCAAATCTACCATCTACGTGCCTACCCCCTCTCCCCATCCCCCTGCCCCCGCCCACTGTTCAAAACCCAGGCTGTGCCCAAGATACTGAGCTGGAACATTGCTATGGGTCAAATGGGGCCTTTCTCGTTTTGTCCAGAAGCTAGCATGGTGCCTGGGCGAGGCCTTCAGGCTTGCGCACATTCAGTCTTTCCCCTGAGAACCTCCAGGGTCCCTTAACCAGAGCTGGACTCCCCCCTGGCTTAGGGGGGCTGGGGGGAGGGAGTACACAGGAAAGTAGCCCCAATAGGGGAGGGAAACAATTGAGAAGCCCCACACTGTGCTTCGAAGCATCAAGATGACATTATGCTCGACCCCAGATAACCCCAGAAGTCCTTCCTGCCCAGCTTCCTGGAGCCCCGCATCTGGAGGGCAGCCTGCCTGACCGAGGGCAGAAGTGGGGGAGGTGGGGGCCCCGCAGCTGCCATCTCCATGCTGCTTCTCTATGGAGGGACCGGCACCTCTACAGACCCGGGGGAGGAGGGCTTGCTGGGCTTTGCTCGCATCAGCCTAAGTGGCTTCATGCGTGCCATTTGGGCCTCCTGCCATGGGTCTTCAGCCCAGTGGGTTCAGGTTCTGAGGCTCCAGGACCCAGCTGCTCCCTCAGTGGCCCTGGGCCGCCACTGGCCGGCTCTGCCCGCAGGAGCTCCGGCCAACACTCCCGGGTCGGCACCCCCTGCAGGGAAGTCCCGCCGTGGGTTTTCCCGGCCGCTGCTTCTGGACCCCACATGCTTGGTGGGGCTCAGCACGAGCGCCAGGGGATCCCTGAAAGCCAAGCGCAGATGGTTGGAGGATGACATGCATGGTCCAGGCTCCATGAGCTCATGAGCAGGGCCCAGCAGGGGACTCACTCCGAGGCTTCAGCTCATCCTGTGCGGGGCAGCGCAGGACACGGCGCCCCCACCGTCTCAACTTCTCAGAGCTGCCGATTCCACCTCCACGGGGGGCGGGGGCGGGGACTGCACCAAGGCCCGTGACCAGAGGGACCCTGTAAGACCCCCAGGGACCTGAAGGCCTCTTAAACACCCCTCTCTAAGGCCTAACATAACACTGAAGATGCAGGGCCGCCCAGTTCCTCAGATGCAAATGGGCGCCCGCAGCTGCCAGGTGACGGGGCCGTGCCTACCCAGGAGCTCACCTCCACGGAAGGCAGAGCTGCGAGCACAGCAGGGCACAGCTCACGGGCAGTATCACGCACGGTCTCCCTCCTGGCAGGGCGTGTGCTCAGTTAAGCCAGGACAGGGGGGCGGGAGAGGACCTGGAGCACTGACTCCAGGCTGGGGTCTGGCAGGGAGGGGAGGGGAGATGCCCAGCAATGGAGGCCTGGGCAGCATCCCGCCCGCGTGAACAGCACCGGCCTCCGCGTGGAAGGAACGCACAGTGTTTGTGGGACTGGGAGGCGGCGAGAGGAAGGGGAGGAGCCAGCCCCGAAGGTCCTCACGGCCACGCTAAGGAACTCGGCTTTCCCTCGGGGCTCTGTGGACACAGGTTTTAGGGCACGTCCCACTGCCATTTTGAAGGTATGACTCCGGGGCCTGTGTGGTGCCTCTGTGGGGGTGGATCGAAACACCGTGCCTCAGTCTCCTCATGTGTAAAACGGAGATGATATCACTCACAGTTATGGGTAGAGATGAACTAGGTATTTCCACAAAGCGCCTGAAACACACTGTGGGTCTGGGCACACCCTCCCCAGCCCACCTCCCCTGGCTGGGAGGCCCCTGCAGGCCCGGAGGGGAAGCAGGAGCTGGGCCAGGGGCTCGGCCAGCCACCCGCATCTGGGAGGAATCCACGCAGCATTCAGATCCACGACCAGCAGATTCTGGAAACAGTCCGGCTCCGGTTAAAGGGGGGGCTGCCCACACGGTCTGGAGGGCCTGGTGCTGCAGGGCTGTGGTCTCTGCTTCTCCCTCGGAAGGGACCGTTTCCTCCTTATGGGCTGGTGACTCAAAACAGATTCTGGGACCCCCTCCCCCTCCCCCTCCCCCTCCTGATTCCCATCGGGTGAGGGTGAGCCTGCACTGCTGGGCTTCCCTCCTGCTGTGATGCTTCCCCAGCTCAGGTCTGAGAGCCTGAGGTGTCCCCCAGCTCGGGCCATTGGCAGTGGGCGGTACATTGGGCTAGCAGCACCCCCACCTGACAGCCAGGCAGGGAAGCCAGTCTCAGGGATAGGCTAGGCCTCCACAAAGGCCTGGCCACTCTCCAACTGGACTCACCATTTGCTCTCACGGGGCTGCCTCAGTTCAGCAGGGTTGGGGAAGGTAGGGGGGTGGGGCTCAAAGAATTGCTGCCGCTGGTGATCTGGGGTTCTCTTCCAAACTGCTTCCATGAACTTGTGAACAGTGTAATTCCTGGCTTCCTTTCCCTCCATCGCAGAAAAGATCCTGAATCAGGCAACCCCACTGGGAGGTGGAAAGAACGGGCCAGGGTGGCCTGAAGTAACTTGGATTTTATTTTCCTTGGAAGCTCAGAGTTGCAGCAGCCACTTGAAGCAGCTGGGTCCTCTCCCTGCACCCTCTGCCAGAGGCGGGGGAGGAGTCGGGGGTGAGATGGGAGTGAGGAAAGGAGAGAGGGCGGTAGGGAGGAGGGAAGGATGGAGAGGAAGGGAAGGATAGATGGAGTAGACAAGGGAGAAAGGAGGAGGGAGGGGAAGAAGCAGGAATGAAAGGAACAAGGCAGAGACCCAGAGAGAGACAGGGGGAGGTGTGGTGGGGAGGTGTGGTGGGCCGGGGGGGCGGGGGGGGAGCAGGGATAGGCTTAGGTGATCCGGGCCACTCTGCTCGTGCTGGTCTGTGGCAGCCCGTCCACGGCTGGCCCCACAGCGCTGGAATGCAAGTGGCTGTGGCTTGGAGGCTGCCCTCTGGCTGGGGAGCAAAGGCTGCTGACATCTGCCTGGAATCGCTGCGTTTTTCCAACACACACCCCAGCCAGCCTTATCGTCAGCCTGGCAGAGGGGCCTGGGATGGGAAAATTCCATTAACTGGGACACGGGCGGAGGAGGCGCCGCTAAACTGCTTGAAAACAAGCCCCACCCACCCCACCCCACATGGTGACACCCTTCCAGGCCTTTCCAGGAGCCTCAAATCCCTGCTCACCTTCCCACCCTGGTTTGCCCTTCTTGTCCCCAAGGACCTAGATGATCCCCGTGGGACCACTCCAGTTTGGTGACACAAAGAAGGCCCACCCCCTGCAGTGGGGATGGTGACCTGCCAGCCCTCAGCCCTGGACAGTCACTAGCGCCTGGAGCAGGAAGTCCACCCCAGTGGGACCAGCTCCCTTGCACGTGAGTCTTCACCGGAATTCCCAGCACCACCCCCACTTCCATGCAGGCCTGGCAGGTCGCTGGCACCTCTGTTCTCCCTGGACCAGGCAATTCCCTTGTCTCCCCTCCCTGGGTGCAGGGGCCCTGGCTCGAAGGGATGTTAAGAGAGAAGTCCTGGAGTAGGTACAGGTGGGGAGCGGACAGCTGAGTTCATTTCATTAGACATCTAATGCGCACCTCCTATTTGTCCCACATGGTGTGATCAGAAAGAGCAACAAGACCCACGTGAGGCCCGGCTGGTGTGGCTCAGTGGCTGAGTGTCAATCTATGAACCAGGAGGTCACGGTTCGATTCTGGTCGGGGCACATGCCTGGGTTGCAGGCTCGATCCCCAGTAGGGGGCGTGCAGGAGGTAGCCCCTCAATGATTCTCATCATTGATGTTTCTCTCCCTTTCCCTTCCTCTCTGAAAAAAAAAAAAAATTTGAACATCAGAAAAAAAAGGCCCACGTGAGGAAGGCAAAAATGTCAAATTGGAACTGTGATTCATGTTGTGATGACAAGTATGTTAGAGACACGCGAGGCGACGGGAGCCCAGAAGAAAGCGACGAGTCAGGGCTGGGTGACTCCGGGAAGGCTCTCTGGTCTGGGGACCTGGCATTTGGACTGGACCTGGGAACGTGAACAGGATTGTGATAGGGAGAGAAAAATGGAGAAAGGTTTTGCTGGTCTTTAAGCTGCACTTACAAAGTAAGATGAGAGATTTTGAAGCATTGCTGCTGTTACCACACCGGCTGGGCAGTGCAAAGGCAAAAGCGTGGATTTGAGTCCAGACTGGGCCACCTTTGTGGGCCAGTCACATGACTTCTTTGAGCCTCAGTTGTGTCACCTGGGAGATAGGAATGCCGGCAATTTCACAGAGTGGTCATGGAGATGAAGTCATTCCAGTCAAGCGTGCCTGCCAGATAGTAGGAATTGAATGCATATTTCTTAAGTACATGTAACATGTAGCATTTTACAAGGGACTTTCACAAACATCTTATTATTACTTTTAAATATATTTTTATTGATTTCAGAGAAGGGAGAGAGAGAGAGCGAGAGCGAGAGAGAGAGAGAGAGAGAGAGAGAGTCTCCTGCACACCCCACACTAGGGATCGAGCCTACAACCCAGGCATGTGCCCTGATGGGCAACCGAACTGTGATCTCCTGGTTCATAGCTCGACAGTCAACCACTGAGCCATGCAGGCCGGGCTTCACAAACATTTTAATTCCCTGATGACATTCTGTCACGGTCCCAGCTCACAGGGTAGCAATGGAAGGTATTACTGACCCTCATTACACATTGCAGGCCACACCTACTTTCTTGGGAGGCTGAGCTCAGTGTGTGACAAGCGGCCCGAGCAGGGAAGGAAGTAGCATGGAGAGCTG